GATGTTGCCTTATGGCTGCTTAGCGACAGGAGATCGCTCAGGCCTCATTGAAGTTGTGAGCACCTCTGAAACAATTGCTGACATTCAGCTGAACAGTAGCAATGTGGCTGCTGCAGCAGCCTTCAATAAAGATGCCCTTCTGAACTGGCTTAAAGAATACAATTCTGGGTTAGTTTATTTTGTTTGATTATTATTTTTCCAAACAAACAGCCAAATAACTATTCTTCCATTTAGAATGGAAGAATAGAATGTCCTGGAGGAAATATTAATGTATTTATTGCTTTATTTCAGGTTAGATCAAAATGACAAATAGGATTTCCTAAAGTCTTACAGATGATTAGTGTTTAATTCTACTTTATCTAAATCTTAAATTCCAACATTTAGGTATTTTAAAAAGAACTTGCAGGTTTTTGTTTATATTTATCAACTTTTATAATTACGTGAATGTGTGAGCTTATGTGAGTTCTCAATGGATTTTTGTAATAGAAGTAAATGAGTTTGTAGACTGATCTCTCCACACTAAAATATAAAGTGCCTGGGTCTGTGTTGTTTATGATTATTGTATTGGAAAGTCCTAATAAATAGGAAATTAAGAAATTACACAGTAAGAGGAAAACACTTTCCAAGTATTTTTAGCTAAAGACCTCAAAATCAGACTTAAATTTGATTATTGACAAGATCCAAACTCTTGTATGTATCAGTTTACAAATTTTGATCTTGTCTCTAATGGGTCTGTATTCTAATTTAAGTCAGTGACATGAATGATTGGAACTGCAATACTTAACTCTTAAATATGGAATTCTAGTGTTAGGTCAAAACAGACGAAAATGTTCCAAAGCCCCAGCATTATCCAGAAAAGCTAATGGTCTCCTCTCATTTCTATGCATATGAACCTGCCCCCATCTTCAGTGAAACATGGCCCAGGGCCCGGTCATTTGAATGGCTGAAGTCTAGTCTTACGGCTTTAAGCCATCCTGTTCATGTTTACTCCTCCCTTTCCTGCTCCTGTGATGACTGTCCTCACCAAATTGGCTGAGCCAGAAGTTCTGATCATATGGTTTTGGCAGCTCTGAATTGCAGTTCTCAAATTAAAGAGGAAACAAGTGTGGGATCGGGTCTTACCTCTCTCATTTGGAGACCGAAAACATTTATTGCTTGTATTTTTTTCTTTTGTTCAGGGATGATTTGGACCGAGCCATTGAGGAGTTTACCCTATCCTGTGCTGGCTACTGTGTAGCTTCTTATGTCCTTGGAATTGGTGACAGACATAGTGACAACATCATGGTAAAAAAAAATGGCCAGGTGAGCTGTTCCCCAGAGTCTGCCAAGGGCCTCAGGGATGCTTGCTTATGTACAGCATGGTCTCTTGTGAAACTCAGGCAGATTCTGTTTCCAAGCACATAACTTCTCTTCCTGTCTTTGTTTTATCTTAAAATGGATACGAAATAATTAAATTTCAGGGCTATTTTGATTATTAGAGGTATGTTATATGATGTGGCCAACTCATATTATAGCCTTTAATTGGTTATTACTGAATATAAAAGACCTTTGAATGTTAGACATGCTCTTTCCCAAGAAGGCTATGGAAAGAGAGAAGGGCTCAAGCTGAGGGTGGAGGTAGTATATGTGGACCTAGGACTGCTGAGATCTTGCCTTTCTATTTAGAACTCACAAGAAAAACAAGGGAAATGAAATCCCATTTGTTTTCCAGCTCTTTCACATTGACTTTGGACATATTCTTGGAAATTTTAAGTCTAAATTTGGCATTAAAAGGGAGCGAGTGCCTTTTATTCTTACTTATGATTTCATTCATGTGATTCAACAAGGAAAAACAGGAAACACAGAAAAGTTTGGCCGGTGAGTATTGTCCTCATGTTCAGGGTATAATCACACCTAACGTTTTCTCCTCCGACCAGCTGGCCTTGCATTTCTTTGGTCTGGGAAATAGTCTGTTAATAGGAGGTCTTGGGAGGAATTTGCCTTTTAGATCCAGGTTGTAATTCAGATACAATCAGAGAAGAGAAACTACACTCAAAACTGAAATAAGTTACTGTGTTTTCCTCTCTTAGAAAATTCTCTGAAACTGTTAAGACATTTGAGAGTGAGAGGCTGAGAGCAGGCCCTTGGCTGCTATTCAGTGTGGAGTGCAGTACGGGAGCCAGGGTTCAGGGGTAGTCTTTGTAATCTCTGATCTATTCCTCACTCCTTGTATGTTTCCAAGCACATAACTTATTTTCCTGTCTTTGTTTTATCTTAAAATGGATACAAAATAATTAAATTTCAGGGCTATTTTGATTATTAGAGGTATGTTATGTGATGTGGCCAACTCATATTATAGCCTTACTAAATAATTGCTGTTATCATTATCAGTGCTAGTTCTGCCTGGGTTTATGCAGAATATACCTCTGAGTTCATTTTTTTCTTAGGCAAAGTTAAGTTTGGATGGTCCTCTTGAATAACCATCTTGAAGAGGAGGGAGAAAGATGGAAAGATGACAGGGAGGCCCAATACAAAAGCATTGATACTGATTTCAGGGACATTAAAGAAAATCTCTAGAATCAGGCCACAAATCTAGAAGTATGTTCAGGAATCCTCATGGATTATAATTATCACTTTGTTTTTATAACCTTTTTTTTTTCTCATAGAATTTAAAAGGCTAAATTAAGGTTTTTTTTATTGCCTTTTATCATAGAATTTCTATTTGGTTTTGTTTTTTAAAAAGATATCTGTGGCCTGGCCACCATGGCTCAGGATCCAAGCCATGCTTGGTTGAATTCCCTGTCAGGGCTCATGCCCAGATTGTGGGCCCAATCCCCAGTGTGTTATGTGAAGGAGGCAGCCAATCAACGATTCTTTCTCAACATTGATATTTCTAACTCTTTAATCCCTCCCCCTTCCTCTTGGAAATCAATTTTTTTAAAGAGAAAAGATATAAGTGTGATTTTAGAGAGCTTGATTTATTTTATGTAAATTTTAGCCCTGGCAGTTTTCAAAGAAGCAGAACTATTAATTAATTTAGTAGAAAATGTTCGGCTCTTATGGAAAGTCTAGCTATGTCTCTCTTGTGTTCTTACACTAATTTGCTATCTCCCCCTCTAACATCATGCTCCTGTGATTTGCCACATCAACAAAAGGTTCCGCCAGTGCTGTGAGGATGCCTATCTGATCTTACGCCGGCACGGGAACCTCTTCATCACCCTCTTTGCACTGATGTTGACTGCAGGGCTTCCTGAGCTCACATCAGTCAAGGATATACAGTATCTTAAGGTATAAACCCCTTTCTATGTATATAATAGTTCGAGTATGCCTGCCTATTTCATTCAAATGTTCAAAGGGAATGGAACAAAGTCATGTTCAGTGAGATATCAGGAGTGGTAGCGACAAACACTTGAGTAGCTGTCTTTCAGTAATCATAAATTCATTACATCTTCAAAAACCCTTTGGCAGAGGTCATATCATCACCCTACCTTGGTGTTCATGCTCCCTGCTGCAAACGGCATTTAAATAAAAACAGTAGGTCCAGAGACTAGACTAGTCTGAATGGACTAGACTGACAGATCTCAGAGGGGTGGTCGGGGTTGAAAGAGATTAACCAAAGAACATAAATGCATAGCCCACATACCAGTAATGAGGTGAAGGCCTGAGGTGGGGTGAGGGTGGGGTGGAGGTGAGAAAGGGGGAGGGTGTGGGGGGTATCTGTAATACTGTCAACAATAAATATAAAAATAAAAACATGAGGCTCACAACTTCATGTTGGCTAGGTTGGCATGGCCAAGTAAGCTTCCTGCATACATTTGCATATCACTTGGGAGCATGTATAAAATCTGATTTTTTTTTTTACCTTCAATTTTTAGGACTCACTTGCCTTAGGGAAGAGTGAAGAAGAAGCACTCAAACAATTTAAGCAAAAATTTGATGAGGCACTCAGGGAAAGCTGGACTACTAAGGTGAACTGGATGGCCCACACGGTTCGAAAAGACTACAGATCTTAATGACCAGCCTTTGGTTTCATTTTCATTTTGCATTTGCACTAAATTGAACATGACCCTGCCAGAGATTTTATAAAGGGAATGAAATTCTGAATCTTAGTTCAATTAAGAACAATGCATCAACAGAACAATCCCCAGTTACCACCCTCTGCTTTTTGTATGCTTCCAAGATTCATCACGAAAACTGTCAACAATATGGATAATCATTTCCTGCTGACTTTGCACGCCAAGGAATGCTACTAGAGATTGTTTTTTTGTCTTTTTAAATTTTATTTTCATTATTTGGTACTTTTCCAAAAAGGTGTAAATACTTCTTTTATGAATTGTGACCAAGTGTTATCACTCAGCCAACTTATCCACGCCTGGGGACTGGTGGCTGTTCTTAATTTCCAAATGAGGCTAAAAAAACAGTATCTTTCTTCCTTTTTAAATTGTGTAAACTACAAATTATAATATAATATGAGATTATGATTATTTTTCAAAAAAAAATCTTTTAAACCTGTGGGAGCATTAATTCTTTTGTTGATATTTATCTATCGTGATAGCATCATCTCAGTCAGACATACTGAAAATCTACTGGTGAGGCAAATATAATATATTTGCTGCCTATATATTTATAAAATTTCTAGTGGGAGTTCTGTATAAAAATATGTTTTGTTTTGTTTCTGTTTTCCTTCAGCCTCTGTTTTACAGAAAGCAGAGCATCTCCCTAATTTTTAGTTAATTATGTGATCCAGTTCTTCCAGCTGCTCTGTACTGAGGCACACATTAATACAGATTTTACTGTATCTGTAAAAGAGTTCACTTCATACTTGAGCAAATGTATCCAAGACAGAAAACAAATGAAAAGGAAACACATGAAATAAACTTCAGGCCTAAAATTCAGTATTTTAGTAAAATGCCAGCTGTTCTTACTGTATTTATTAAAACTTATAATGATGTGATTTTTTTTTTAAGGGTATTAGTTGAAAATGAAATGGTTTCATGGAATTCTTTAATTTATTTGTTGAGGTACCATATATTTAGGGTGCTAGATGGCAAATAATGTTGTTAATATGTGCAATAGGAACTACTGGTTTGAATGTGTAAATGGATGCTCTTTCTGAGTACTGGCAACATCCAGCAAAACTACTGCTTATTTTCCAAAGACTATTGGGATCTCCAATCCTCAATGACGTGGGAAAGAAAACTGAGTATTTGCCCTGCGACTGAGTTTTCTATAGGAATTTCATTAAAGATTGTTTAATTTTGTTGTCTTCCTTCATGTTTTCAGTCAAATAAATGTGTGAGCTGGTTTCAGCTGCTGTTGGGATGTATGGGCCTCTTCTTTTGGGCAGTTCAGGCCTTTGGACCTTGGCACTGGGACTCTGAAGAAAGAGTCAAGTCGACACAAACCAACCTCAGGAATTGTAAGGCACTCGGTCTCTTCCCCGACTTCTCTCCCTGCTTCCGTATCCCGTTAGTACTACGGGAGGCCTCTGGACTTTGGTGGGAGCTTGAGGCGAGAGGGTACCCTCATCAAGTTTCCATATCTTTGGGAGCTACCTGAGGGTCTAAAATGCCTCTTCAGTTACTTGGTACCCAGGCCAAAGTCGGGCTGTACCACTTTGGCACACTCTTCCCCAGGCAGCTGTTCAGAGCAGGTCACAGTTTATTGGAAATAACTCAGCTGAGAATGAGGATTGATATCTCAATATTACCAGGGCTGGTCTAGACTCAGTGAGAGTTCCAGGAATAGGACTGTAGAAGTATGGTTTGTTCAGGGATTTTTGTCTGATCTCAGTCCATCATTACATGCACCAGATTGCAAGCCTGGGGTTTGCAGGAGGCTGAACATTGCCTGGCAGAAATGGGCACCACTGTTTCCAGAGAGGTCTCCTCGGTCAGTGAATGAATATCTTTAAGAGCAAAAAAGGAAATATGACCCCTCCAGACAGTGCTGGACCTGAGTCCAGAATGGCTTGTTTCATACTGTAGGCCCCTAAAGATGCCAGGACACTGGGACAGGAGCCTCAGGTGCTGCTAAGCATACTAGTAACTAGTAGGTGCTCCCTACAGACTTGCTAAATTGCATGTCTGATTCTCAGGGCCTCTGGCTGAGCCAGAGAGGAGAAAGTCAAAGGCAGAAGATAGCCTGCCTCTGGGATGGGTTGGGATCTGAGCTGCAGAATGAGCTTTTTTGCATGGGACTGGTTACCCAGTGCCGTGGCTGTTAAGTGCTCTGGTCAGCAGCAAATCTTACCCCAACACACTTAGCTCCTCCCCTTTTGGTACTTTCCCAAAACGAGGTTTTTGAGACCCTGTCCATTTCCATACTTGAGGACAGCCTCTGGGAACCCAAAGGATGACTTTTGAACAAGTAATTCCTGAGAATCGTACTCATGTCATTAGGAGAGCCTGGGCTGCAGAGGCCAATGTTTGCAATCCAGCTCTGCCTCTGTGACCCTTATTTCTCAGGGTCTGAGCTTCCTAGTCTGTAAAATGAAACTGAAAAAATAACTGCTCCTCATCCAGTATCTTGTATTGGAAAATAATTTTCCCCCACTGCTCTATAGATCCACCTTTATCATAAACCAAGTGCCCATATATACGAGTCTGCTTCTAGACTTTAGAAGACACCCAGTAGATTTCACCTCCCTATTTTTACTTTATCAAACTCATACATACTATTTAGTGTGTTTGAGGCACATATCTAAACGATGTATATTTAATCCTTATAACTATCTTGGGTGATAGGTATAATTGTTCTTCCCCACTTCACAGATGAGAAAACTGATGCATAGAATGTTCAGTAATTTGTCCAAAGGAGAAAATCACAATGCAAATCCAGGGAGTTTGTCTTAAGTGTAAATTCTTTACTTACAATTATTGATGTTTTCATACATATTTCAAAATATGCTAATTGATATTCACCAAAATAAACCTATGGAAATTTTGAACGGGATTGCATTAAATTGTAGATTAGGTTGAGGCAAACTGACATCTTCAGAATATTGACTTCCAATCTATAGTATCCTTTATTTAGATCCTCTTTAATTTATATCCATCATGATTTATAGTTTTCTTTGTATAGTCTTGTATATCTTTTGCTAGATTCCTGGGTATTTAATTTTCATTGTTGCTAAAATATCACAGTAGTTTTGCAAGAGTGGTCCCCTGACTAGGAATATTAGCATCATTTAGAAACTGGTTAGAACTGCAAATTCTTGAGCCTCACACTAGACCAACTGAATCAGAAAATCTGGAGATAGAATCCAACAATATGTGATTTTAAAGTTTCAGAGCAATCAATAAAAGCAATTGATGTATTTATCAGACTTACCAAACATTTTGTTAATCCTATTTATATAAATTAATTTCACATAAATCATCTACAGATAATTGCAGCTTTATTTCTTCTTTCTGTTCCCTTCCATTATTTCTTGTTCTTGCCCTTCTGCATTGGTTAGGAATTCCAAAAAAGGTGAAAGTTTTCAACATTAAGTATGGTGTTTGTCCAAGATTCTGGATTTTTTTTTTTTTTTTTTTTTTTTTTTTTTTACCAAATTAAAGAAGTAAACTTCAGTTCCCAAGATGTATATCGTTTTACTTATGAAAGGGAGCCTCTGGATTGGTAAACGCATATATATGATGTGGGCACACCAACTCCTCAAAGAACAGGAGCTCCTGTGCTCAGGACCCACCTGGACCTTGCCCTGTGGGCCTCTTCATCAGTGTGTTATGTATAGCTTTTATAATAAACTGGTTATGGTAACTTTAAAAAGATCATAAAAGGATTGAATTTTGTCAAATTGTTTTTCTATATTTTATGAATATGTTCATAAAGTTTTTCTGACTTGGTGAGTTATATTGATTGATATGCAAACATTAAACCCAAGTTTCTATTCCTAGAATGAGCCATTTGATTGTTATGTATTATCCTTTTTATATAATGCTGAGTTTGATTGCCAATATTTCATTTGGGGTTTTTGCATCTGTTTTCATCAGTGGGATTTACTCTTAAGTTGTTTTTGAAGGTTTGTTAGGTTTTGTTAACAAGGTGTTTGTAATGTTCTAACACAAGTAAGATTGACATTACTTCTTACTTTGAAGTTTGGTAGAATTTTGCCAGTGACTTTAGGTGTGATGTTTTCTTTGAGATATGGATGTGGTTTATTCAGTAGCTAAAATAATATTATTTTTGTATCTTGTGTTCATCTTAAAGAGTTCCACTTTTCTAGGAATGTGTCCATTTCATCTACATTTTTAAATTTTTATTTTATTTTTTTAATAAACCTTTATTGTTCATATTATTACAAAAGTTCCTCATTTTCCGCCCCCTCCACCAGGTTCCTACCCCACCCTCTGCTGCTGCTGCTCTGGGCCTGGCTGCTCCAGGCCTGGCTGCTGCTGCTCCGGGCCCATCTGCTGCTGCTCCAGACCTAGCTGCTGCTGCTCCGGGTCTGGTTGCTGCTTCTCCAGGCCTGGTTGCTACTGCTCTGGGCCTGGCTGCTGCTGCTCCAGGCCTGGCTGCTCCGGGCCTGCCATTCTTCCACCTCTCCAGCTGGTCACATTTTTCTCAAATTTATTTTTATAATGTTTTGAGTTTAGTGAATTAATAGTGATGTCTTTTTCATTCTTGGTATTTGTTATTGCCTTTTTTTCTGAATTGGTCTCAGTAGAGGTTTCCCACTTGCACTGATCTTCACAAAAAATCAGCTTTCTGCTTTTTTTATCCTGTTGTATGTTTTTAACTCTCCTTTATCCTTATTTTCTTCCTTCTATTTGTATTTATTTTGTTGTTATTCCTCTCCTCCAGTTGTATGTTTGCTTAGCTGACCAATAGCAATCTTTATAATAATCTTTATCTGCATCTCGTAAGTTTTGATATGAAGTCTTCATTACCATTCAGAACAAAATATCTAATTTCCATTTTGGTTTCTCTATGCTACTGCTTACTTATAGTATGCTTATTAATTTCCAAATACTCATGGATTTTCTCATTACCATTTTGTTAATTTCTAGGTTGCATGGCATTCAGAGAACATCTTCTGTATGACTTCAGTTCTTTGAAATTTGTGGGACTTGTTTTCATGACTCACACTATGGTCAAGTATTATAAATGTTCAGTGTGCATGTAAAAAAATCCATATTCCTCAATTATTAGATTGTTCTACCTCTGTTCATTAGGTCAAGTCTGCTAATTGTGTTATTGTTTAAGTGTACATAACTACTGAGTTTTTGTCTAGCATTTATGAGAGAGATAAAATATCCCACTATGATTTTGGATTTGCCTATTCTAGTTATGTCAATTTTTGTTTGATAAGAGTTTGAACCAATATCAACAAGTACATACAAATTTAAAGATGATTGCTCTCCATCATGTGAGAACAGTGAGAAGGCAGCTCTCTGCAAGCGAGGAGGTAGGCTTTCACTGGGGAACCAAATCAGTCAGTATCTTGATCTTGGACTTCTCAATCTCCAGAACTGTGATAAATGTCTTGTTTCATCCACAGTCTATGGAATGTTGTTATAGCAGCCCAAGATGACTAATGACCACCAATGAAGACATATTGCAAGTTGCCAGTCCTCAAATGGGGAATGTGAACTGAGGTATATGCGGGCCTCCCCTTGCACCTGTTCCCTTCCCCCTCACCCCTCTCTCCTCCCCATACACACACACATGCCCAGTTAGGAAACTGTCGTCATTGTAGCATTGTTCCATAGCAGAAAAGCAAGCAGGTTGAAAGGTACCTGTCCATCTCAGGATTTTGACCACATGCTTATTGAGGCTAGTACTCCAGGACTTGATTTAAAAAAATATATATATATATACATATATATATATATATTGGGATGGTGGTGGTGCAGTCTCCTAGTGGACTTTAGTAAGGTTCTGCAAGATAAGCACACTCTTTGCTCACAGCTGCCTTGTCTGAAAGTAGGAAGGAAGGAAAATGCAGACCTTGTAAGGCAGGTTTTCCAACTGGCTCAGAGCCAGTGTAAAAGCCAAATTTGCAGCCCCAAGATAAAGTCAGTAAGAATGAAGATTGAAAAAAACAAATTTAGAGATGATTTATATCCCTGGTGAATTGAACTATTTAAAAATTATTTTAAAGTGTTATGTATTTCTGGTAATTCTTTTTTGCCTTAAAGACTACTTTAACTGATGTTAATATTATGCCAGCTTTTTAATTCTATATTTTTTCAAAAAATTTTCCTGTTCTCTCTGTAATTCTCTGAATTGTCTTTTATTACCTTGAATATTTTAAACATAGCTCTACACTCTCAATCTGTAGCCCCAGTGAGTCTGTTTCCACTGTTGGTTATTTCTGTACACCCATTCATGTTGTCCTGTCTGATTGCACAAGTGAGAAATATATAAAGACATCTTTTAAAAACACAATCAAACAGCACCAATTTTATTTTATAATGTTTATTATAGTAAAAGGTCCTTTTGTAAAACATTAGTGATTTTGGTCCACATCTTATTTACCATTTGGCTTTGAAACATTTTTACATTATTTACAAAATAAATTGCAGGTCTTTTTAATTGTATATAATATTTTTCCCTGACTCTTGGAACATTACAGTTTCAAGTAACTAAAAAAATAAAAACATGGCAGATTAAATGTACTGAGAAGTACATATTGAACATATTTAATTTCCACAGTAATGTAAAAGTCCTGATTGTTACTTCTTAAGATGAATGTTCATGAACATGAAGTCATTGAGGAACTTCTGGGATTTCCCTGTTATCCACAATGAGAGTATGAATAATTCCTTCTCTCCGCTTTCCACTACTGACAGCCTTTATGTAACACTCGTGGCTCCCAACGCTGAAGTGAGTTTCAGTCCCATCATCTACAAACTCACCCTAGGCCAACAGAGAAGGAGAAATTAGTGTTCAGAATTACTTACCTTTGTCTAGAGCACTAATACCATCTAAAAGGATGGTAAAGCCGAAACAGGTTTGGCTCAATGGATAGAGCATCGGTCTGCGGACTGAAGGGTCCCAGGTTTGATTCCGGTCAAGGGCATGTACAATTGGTTGCAGGCACATCCCTGGTGGGGGGTGTGCAGGAGGCAGCTCGTTGATGTTTCTCTCTCATCGATGTTTCTAGCTCTCTATCCCTCTCCCTTCCTCTGTAAAAAATCAATAATATATATATATATATATATATATATATATATATTTATTTATTTTTTAAATAAAAGGGTGGTAAAATGAATTACATGGTAAATGTTAAGCTTTGTAAAGTTAGAAACTAGTATTTAAGTGCTTTTACATTCTGCCATGAATGGAAAGTTTCTTATTTGTACTCTCTACAATCCAAGAATCTTGTTTCAGAGAAAAGTAAAACCACATGCACCTCATGGCTCTGTGTATGTAACATTGTACTACGCAGACATACAGAATATTTTCAAAAGTATAAAAGATAAACATGATAAGAAAACACTTATTGTTACTTATCCTATATCGAGAACAGTTTACATGCATTATTTTATTGCATCCTCACAAGAACCCTGACAGAAATACTATTATCCTCATTTTACAGATAAGGAAAGTGAGGCAGAGAGTAAATAACTTGCTAAAGACCCTAGATTTGCAGATCTGACTCCTCAGGGTATAAAGTGGCTTTATAATAAAATACAGCGGTCACATAAACACCGCTAGATCTAGACTTGCTCTGTCCAATACAATTAGCCCCCAGTCATATGTGGCAAAATCGAGCACTTGAAATGTGTTGAGTCTGGAATGAGATAGGCTGTTTAAGTATAAAATATACACCAGATTTGGAATACTTAGTATGAAACAAAGAATGTAAAATAATTCACTAAAAACTGTTTCTATTGATTGCATGTTAAATAACACTATTTTGATAGATGGATTTAAATCAAATATATTGTAAATTTCACCTTAAAACATTATGGCTAATAAAAAAGTTACATTCAAAGCTCGTGTTTGTGGCTTATACTGAATAGTACTGATCTGGAATAAGAAAATAGGGGTCAAGTAGTATAGAGAAGGAAGGAAGAAAAGGAGGATTAAAGGATAAGAATGAATTACTCCAGAAAGCAAGGAAACCCCAGTCAGACGTAAGACTTGGCTGTGAGCTTCCTGGCAGCCAAGCAGACAGAGCAAGGTCCCGCAGCTATTGTTATCTAACCAAAGAAAGCATAGGTGCATCAGGGAGAAGCATTTTCCTAGCTCTGAGAAGAATGTGGTCAGTAGCTCTTAGGAGAGCTGTACTGAACACCTCTAAAGTGAGCTGGTCTGAACTTGGAGTACAATGTGTTTTCACTCATTTTTTATATTGCACCTTGAAAAATGTCCTTTAAGTCATACTTTTGTAAAGATCAATTCAGAGAACAGGGCAATGGTTTAGTAAAATAATTCCTCTAAGTAGCTTCTTGACAATTTGACAGATTCATAACCTTGGTCATGATGCTTGGAGATAAAAAGGAAAAGGAGAAAATACGATGTAACTTGCAAACGTGCACAGTACTGGGGAGGCTGCCCGGACACGGAGCTGCCAAAGTGTCCTACAAACGAGGCTGTAGTTACAATGAGGAGGCAACTGGGTCATAAAGAGCTACTGTCCACACACTTGTGGTTTCCTATCAATTACTGAGAAACAGAGACAGTGTAGGGTGAACACTATTTTGAACCAATTTGCAACCATATCAATATCATAAAACCATGTTCTCTTTACATAGGCACTGGAGAATTCTGTGAGTGTGGACGGGAATGTGGTTGAAACTGCTCCTTCTCCACCGAGAGAACTGCAGGACAGGAAAGTAAGGACAGGAAGGAGCACCAGGCGGGCGCTGCGTGCCCAGTCTATGTGAATGGTAACAGACGCCGCTCCCAAAGGGGTCACAGGATACCGAACAGCTCACCAAGCAGAGAAGTCAATGAGGAGACTGAACCTGGTGAGAGCAGCTTAAGCTCTGAGGATCAATTTTGAGTGAGTCCTGGTTAGATTTCCCTTCAAGAATTAATGTCATATAATAGAATCAGGGGCATAGAAAAGGGGTGGACTGACAATCCTCGGGGGGAGAGGGGTGTGTGGGAGATGCAGGAAGAGTCTGGACAAAAATAATACACCTATGGATGAGGACGGGGGAGGAGGGGTGTAGGATTAGGGCAGAGGGTGGAGTGGGAACCCAGTGGAAGGGAGCTATGGGGGAAAAAAAAAGGAACAACTAATAATCTGGACAATAACGATTTATAAAAAGAAAAAGAATAACTGGGTTGGAACTCAGAGTTGATTCAGTAGTAGATTCTTATACTGGTAGGTTTCCCATCCCCAAATTCCTTTAGGACATATTTTTCATCTTATCCTTATGTTGTGGGAGAAGAAGAAGATGAAATGTTTAAATGGCACACAACAGAAAGAGAAACAACTGTAAAAATCTGAACAATAAAGATTTTAAAAACAAAAAATTATTACCACATTAAAAAAAGTCAACTTACTGCTGTCTCCATTTTTTTACCATTGCACCATACATCCATAGTGTCTTTTTCTGTAAAAGTAACAAATTAAAATTTATAATATATGATTTAAAGATAAAGTTAACTCTTTATGTTTATTATTTTTAGAAAGGTTTGATACACTGGATTCCTCAAAGTCCATTAACTTTTCACAACTGTGAATTGGTTCTAAATTTGAAGAAACGGATTATTTTCTTCACAGACAAAATCAAAATGATACAAAACAAACTTTTAAGAGAAACTAATGACCCCAATACAAATTGATGAAGACTTGTTAAACTCAAAAGTAAATACTGAAGCATAATCTTCAAAGGAAGAAGCATACAAGTGAATGTGAGGAGGGACTTTTCCAAAAGTCCCATGTTCAAATTCAATCCTATGGACTCCGTCACTAGTATCAGTGACTAATGACTACTCCTGCCTCCACTGACTCAATTGGAAGATGGCATAAAAAGACCACCAAGCCCTGGGCAGTGTGGCTCAGTTGCTTGGAGTGTTGTGTCATACACCAAAAGATCACAAGTTCAATTCCTGGTCAGGGCACACGCTTAGGTTGCAGGTTCAATCCTCGATCAAGTAAGTATAGGAGGTAACTGATGGATGTTTCTCTCTCCCATCAATGTTTCTCTCTCCCTTCCTTTCTATAAATTCTGTAAAAATGTCCTCAGGTGAGGATTAAAAAAAAAAGACCACGACACAGGGCTGCCACAGAGTTCATACAGAATAGACAGGATAAAGTTCTAAAGGGTTAGAATGTAGCCTTACTAGTAAATTTTTTAGTGGGTAGTGCAATAATCTCTATTCATTTTTGTAATGGTTTCACTTGAGGGGAAAATTACTGGATCATAAGAAAAAATATAAGTATACATGGTAGACAGTGCTAAGTGCTGACAAAAGAGCAAAATGCTGCAAAAATACACCCGAGAGAGAAATATCAATGTGAGAGAGAAACATTGATTAGCTGCCTCCCACACTCACCCTGACCTGAGATCGAACCCGCAATGTGGGTAGGTGCTCTGACTGAGAATGGAACCCAGCCGTTTGGTGAACAGGACAATGCTCCAACCAATTGAGTTACCCAGCTAGGACCGTTTATTTATTTATTTATTTATTTTTTTTTTTAAATATATATTTTATTGATTTTTTACAGAGAGGGAAGGAGAGGGATAGAGAGTTAGAAACATCAATGAGAAAGAGAGACCTCAATCAGCTGCCTCCTGCACACCCCCTATTGGAGATGTGCTCGCAACCAAAGTATTATACATGCCCTTGACCGGAATCGAACCTGGGACCCTTCAGTCCGCAGGCTGACGCTCTATCCACTGAGCCAAACCGGTTTCGGCCCTTTTATTCATTTATTGATTTATTTTCAATCTACTTTTACCTAGACTCAACAATTTGATCTGTTGCAGTCCTAACCCTAACCTAGAGAAAATGGGTGAATCTTAAATTTCCAACTGCCTTTAGTCATGCTTTTAAAGTGAAATGTTGAATAACAGCAAATGTTTGTATCAATATTTTTTATTTACTTAAAATGTTATTTACTGGTTTTAGAGAGAGGGGATGGAAGAGAAAAAACATCAATTTGTTGATCTACTTATTTGTGTATTCCTTGGTTGACTTTTGTATGTGCCCCATCCAAGAGTGGAACACATCACCTTGGTGAATCAGGACAATGCTCTGACCAAGGGTGCTACCCGGCCAGGGCCCAATAGTTCCTTTTTTAAACCTAAGTTTACACTCCTCAAATCCATCATTATAAACTCTGGCTCTCACATTTTATATATAAATCAACCGATTAACTGAATCATTCACACAGAACACATTAAAAATACACCTATTCAAAGCTCCCATGGGGAAAGGGGGTGCAGGAGAGGAGATCAGCCAATGAACTTGTATGCCTATCTGCATAACCCACAGACACACAAGAAAGTGGTGAAGGCCTGTGGGGAGGGGCCCTCTGGGATAAAAGGGAACATATGTAATACTTCCAACAATAAAGATTTAAAAGGGGGAAAAAAGCTACCATAAAAGATCTGGACAGTTAGAGAAAGTAATTATAAATTTTTATATATATAAAAATTATGAAGTAATTTTTATAATGTGTGCCACTATAAAAAGCCAACAATTCTGTAGTAACAGCAATCACTTACCCAATACAACTCTCAAGTCTTCACCATCCAAATGTAATACCCAAGTATTGGTGGTTTTTGATCTGTTCTCCATATACTTCTTGAGACTTTTCCCATTAATTTCCAGAGTGTATTCATAAGCAAAACCACTGATAGCGTCTATATTTATGGTTGCTTTTGTCTTTGCAGCTCCAACACAGAAGGTTTCTTTGCCCACCAATTTGAACATCCATTCTCTTCTTATCTCTTCCTAAGTAATAAAATAGAAAAGTTGAAAACACACAAATGGAAGAAAATGTAATGTTTAATGTTAGAAATAATATAATTAAAGTGAGCAAATGATAATGTTAGTAATATTAATTTGTGATGCAAAGGTCTTAGACTCTAAAGGCATCTTACGTTTAAATATTAGATGTTATAGTCTATGAATTCCTTAACTATAATTCAATAGCTTTGTACAGCAAAATGATACAGGCCAAAATATAAAGATAACCACTTTAGTAAGAGAAAAGCCTGAATATACACATGAAGAATCTACACTAACAAAATAAACCTTCTCTGTACACCGTATTTACAAAGTAATGTGCTTTTTTTCCTACCTTCCCATCTACATATACCACACGTTTGCCGGATGTGGTCCCATGTTCAAATTCAATCCTATGGATTCCATCACTCAAAGCAACATCCCAAACGGCTACAAGATCTGTCATTCTTACCAGGCTACCCGGAGGGCTAAGGGAATAAAATACAACAATTATAGCAGGCCAGGAACAGTTATAAGATAGTCAACTAACCCTTCCAAGATGAAAATAACAGATGTTTAAAACCCTTAAAATGACAAAATATTAAAGTGATAAAACCCAAGAAATCTCACTCACAGTACATGTAACTATCTTCTTTCTCTTATGCACTCTTTAAGATGAAAGTACTCTCATGAGTATACACAAGTAATTCCAAACAAAGTCACCTTAATTTTAATAGGATTAAGAATCTGTCAGTTTATCCATGGCAGTATTCTAAGCTAGGCTACAGAATAATGCTTGGAAAGGTCAGTAAGAAGTCTCTATTTCTCCCTCCCCTCACTGAAGTGGTTTGTTTTTTCCAGATCCAATAATTCCAAAATAAGAATTCTACAAACCCTTCATACTTAAACCAATGACTAAGAATTAATTTTAACATACACACTTTTTAATTTACTAAAGTAAGACTGAGAAAAAGAGAAGTCATGGAAGAAAGGTCTTATAGTAAAGATTAAAATGTTATGAAAAATAGTAACTCTTATCACTGCTATGAAAAAATCTTATTTTTAAAAAAAGGAAAAAGAAAGTATTTTTAAAATAAAGGATTTTATTTAGTCAGAAGTTTCTGGCATAATTTAAACACATTTTAACATAAAAATATAAATATTTGAATATAAAACATTATGTTTTATATGTAAATGATGTATAATATCATATTGATAGAGGTTTTTAGCTTTGGGAAAAGTAACATTACAGCCTTATTGACCTTGGCTAACAGTGAAGTGTTTTCTGTGTGCCGATCACTGTTGTAAGAGCTTTCCGTGTATTCACTGGTAGAATCCTCTTCATGGCTGGGTACTATTATTATGATCACTATGTTATAGGTGAGGAAACAGGCTCAGAGAGGCCAAGGGCTTGTCTAAGGTCACAATGACAGCAAGTGGGATGGGATTTAAACTTAGGACTCTGGCTCACGAAACTGCTCTCTTAACTGCATCCGACTCTTCATTCCCTCTCATCTCTGTGTGCTCTAAATCAGACACGGACTGGGTTTCACATCGTTTTGGAGTGACTGCCAAGAACTGTGCCGAGAGGGATTTGAAGATCTGACATCCCGGTCCTGTAAAGGATGCCACGTGAGCGGTGGCCACCCTCAGGCCGGGCGTTGGCTATCCTCGTTCACATCATGGGAAAGCGAAACCATGCATTCTGCAATTTTACAAAATGTGTCCTTTAAAAGGTGACCTGGATAAATAGCTCTTCTGGATGACTAAGACAGTCTTGAAAGTTTCAAAAGCCAGTTTGGTTGCAATGCAAGATATTTACCTTTCGTCATCTTCAAAGATAGGACTCTCATCTCCAGATGCCATGGTTGGCAAAACCGTCCTTAATCCAATTAGCAGCCAGGAAAGAAAACAGCAGAATTGCAGGCAAGAAAGATTGAGAGCAACAGAGAAGACAGAAAAACCATCTGTAAGAGGGTTTTTCTAACTTTGCAATCCATTTCTTGAAATGGATGAAGTTTCTGATGAAACAGCTTTTACACACAATAGAATTGCCATCTTGAGTTTTCAGAGCATCAAGAGACCTGGAAGTCCCCTGGGTCCCAAGCTTCTCAAACGGAGGCAGAAGGAGCCCCAAGGGTCTGAGGCAGTGGGCCAGGGAATACATAAAACTCTAGGATCAACAGAATGGATCTTTTGGAAGCATCAGTGTTACAGGTGGTTGGGTTACAAATTTAAAATGCAATCTTTATACTAAACTTTAGAAGGCTACATTACGGTAGAATATAATAATTAAAACAAATTTTTTTAGAGAACTTAAAAGAAATGGTGTTTGCAGGAAGCAGTCAAGAATAGGCTAGCTGCCTTTAGAAGAGCAAACTTAATTTACCTGTTTACTCAAGCCCACTTAATGCACTAGTGCCAGAAAGGAATCCACAAAAATTGTGTGGTTTGCTCAGGCCACTAGCAGGGCTCAAGCCAAACCGAGAGCCCGGTGCTCCTGTGCATATCAACTAAACGGTAATTGGGCTATCATGCTACGTTTTACTGCGATCAGAAGCACAGGTGTAGTCTACGTTTTACTGCGATCAGAAGCACAGGTGTAGTCGCATACACAGGAATCCCTTCATATTTGAAGATTTGGGATTAACGGTTATACCACTGCCAAACCTACTAAAAAAATGGGCTCACTAATTTTTGCTCCAAGTTCTACCCTAGCCTAGCCTTCTCCCTACTGATGCCCAAGGGTGCTCTCTCCTTGTTAAAAAATGGAAGCTCAGCCGGGACTGGTTTGGCTCAGTGGATAGAGCGTCGGCCTGCGGACTGAAGGGTCCCAGGTTTGATTTCGGTCAAGGGCATGTACATTGGTTGCAGGCACATCCCCAGTGGGGGGTGTGCAAGAGGCAGCTGGTCGGTGTTTCTGTCTCATCGACGTTTCTAACTCTCTGTCCCTCTCAATTCCTCTCTGTGTAAAATCAATAAAATATATATATTTTTAAAAATGGAAGCTCAAACAACCAGAAGCCACAAATTGTTTTTTTTAAAAGATGTTAAGAGATTAGCATCATAAAAGCAATATAACAGGCAAAGGAAGGCTAAGAATTTCAGAATGAAAACTAGATATTTAAAACACTTCGTACCTAAAATAAATCCCTCTTTTTTTTTATTATTTTTTTATTAGCCCCTTAAAATTTTGCAGATTTTTCTAGTCTTAGGAAGCCCTAGGGTGAAGGTGGAGGGTAGATGAAACTAGAGAGCACTATGCTAAGCGAAATAAGCTAGTCCGAGAAAGATAAATATCAAAAATGATCTCACTCATGTGTGGGATATAATGATCAACATAATTGGATTAACAAAAATAGATCCAGAGATAAATGGCAGGGGAGGTGAGGGGAGGTGGTTAGAGAGCAGCCAAAGGACTTGTATGCATGCATATTGGCACACACTGGGGAGGTGAGGGCTTTCCAGGGTGGGAATGGTTGGGGCCGGAGGGGGCGGAAGGATGTTAATTGGGGGAAAAGGAGACTTATGTTAAACTTTAGACAATAAAAAAAAAAAAAGAAAAGAAAATGGAGGGTATCCTAAAACTAAAAGCAAAGGGAATGCATAGCAATAGAGTAAGCCAAACAGTATAATATCAACTTGGATAAAGCATCCTCTGCAAATCAGAGCGGACTTAGGGATATCATTCAAATTTTGCTCTACAACTTGTAGAGACCCTAGAAAGTTTAGTAGTTCAGCATTCAAACTTGAACGAATTGCCCAGTTTTCCATTACAAGGAACTTCAAGTATTATTGGTATTATTATATATAAGATAATGTATGATGCCATCTTAGTTATAATAACTTTTCATATAGGTATAAAAGATAACACAACAAATAAAAAGGGGGTTAGAAATCAATATTAAAATTGTTTTATTTAAATGACCAACATCCATTCATATATTTATTTATGAAGTATCTGTTTAAGGTGTAAACATGTTTTGGAAATACTAGTGGTGATGGTTGAACAACACTGTGAGTGTGCTTAATGTTATTAAATTCTTTTTTTTTTTTAATATATCTTATTGATTTTGTACAGAGAGGAAGGGAGAGAGATAGAGAGTTAGAAACATCGATGAGAGAGAGTCATCGATCAGCTGCCTCTTACACACCCCCTACTGGAGATGTGCCCGCAACCAAGGTACATGCCCTTGACCGGAATCGAACCCAGGACCCTTCAGTCCCCAAGCCGACGCTCTATTCATTGAGCCAAACCGGTCCCGGCAATGTTATTAAATTCTTGATACTTAAAAATAGATAGCGACAAAATTTATGTCATATATATTTTACCACAACTTAAAAAAGCAATACCATAATATACCAAAAAAATTGAATTGTATACTTTGAATGGATGAATTATATGGTGTATAAATTACATATCAACAGTTGTTTAAAAAAAAAAAAAGACTTAGATGCCCTGCTGCTAGCGTTTCTTGAAATGTAACACACTTAAACTCAAGAGATGATCACAGCTGCCCTGGTCACCTTACTCATTTGAGTGAAAAGTCAGTCACACACAGATCTCTAACTCACAAATTGGACTTAATAAACACTCATAATCTGAATGCACCCAGCATGCTAATAGTTATCAGTCACTTGTGTGCCAGGCACGGAGCTGGGCACTGAGCTCAGAGGGAGGGGCCCTGGAGAGATGGAAGGAGGATCACAGCACCACCTGGGAGTGTCTTACACAGGGAGGCAGGAAAAGGCAGAATGGGCCCACGGAGAAAGGACCCCAACCCTGCCAAGTGGGGGGAAGGCTTTGGTTTAATATCCAGGAGAAAGGAATCGATCCACCGTAATTTTTAAACTCCTATCTACACATTTAATTTTCAGGATCATGTGACCAAACAGGAAAATGATCGTGACAAGGAAAAATTCCCTCTATTTTAGCACAAAACTTTTAAAATGTAAATGAAACGAATGGAAAAACGAATTCCACGTATTTTCACTGATGAGGACAATGCTACTCGAAGTCTTTTTCAAGTCTTCAAGGGGAGGTTTTTGAGTATCTAGTGACTAGCCATCAGCACAATCTCTTAAAATCCCTTCCCTTAACAACCCATGTGTCAGTGTATGACTTAAACTTATTAAAACGTTTCCACGATTCATCTAAGCCAAGCTTGAATTTTGCATTCCTCTAAGTTTAACCGTACTGGGGACTGTGGTGGTTTGTCCAAGCTAAATATACGTAAATCAAACTTTAAAATTTCCAAGGTACTCATCGTTCCCTTTTCTGCAAAAGCTCTAGGTAAGGGCCGCCACAAGGCCAGTCAGTCCCCCTTCAACCAACCGGTGTTGACAAGTTGCTCCCTGTGCCCTGTGGGACCTACAACAAAGGCGACCAGGAAGTTCCTTGAACCAGGTATTCCCAAACACCGGTGAAGGTGGAAAAATCAGAATAACTCTTCTAAGGAGCATTCTGCAAGGCACATCGGCCACAAGCCTCACCAAGGAGCCGCTGTAAACAAAAGCCAGGCGGAACAGTGCTAACAACTGGCTTTTGTAAAAACTGCAAACCACCTGTATGTGTGTATGTTCGCCCTCAAGGAGTTCCCCATGGAGTAAACCACAGTCCTGACATTCAACAGGTCGGGCTCCGGGGAGGATGCCAGGTCAGCCCGGCCCCCGGGACCGCGGCCTCGCGGCCTCCAGACAAAGAAACCGGGAAACCCTCCCGGCCGCGGCGGTGCCCGCGATGCGCGGACAGAGAGGGGCCAGTCACTCTGCTTTCGGACCCCCGTCCTGCAAAACGCAGTCTGATCGCGTTTATAGAGGAAAGGGAGGAAATGCAGGTTCAAGTTCACCCGCGCTGTTTCCCGGGCTCGTGTGCTTCCCGGTCCCACTTTTCCAACTTTAGGGCTGGGACGAGGCCGGGGCTGGAGCGGCGATCGCGGGGCCTGGCCGGCACGGGGGGGAAGGGGGGAAGGAGGAGGGAGAAGGGGGGTCCCCGCCTCCGTCCGCGCGGCCGGGCGGCCGGAACACACCCCGCGGCCCGGGCCGCCCGCCCTCCCCGCCGCGCGGGCCGCCCGCAGCTCGCAGCGCCGCGGCTCCCAGGGGTGGCGGCCCGGGCCGCGCGCAGGGCCTCCGGGGGCCGGGCCGCGGGCTCACCTGGCGCCGTGGGCTCCGGGCCGCGCCGGCGATCGGTGCGGACTCGGCCGCTTAGGCCGCGCGCGGGGCCTTCTCCCGCCGCCGAGAACCGGACGCAGCCCGCCCCGCGCGGAAGCCGAGACGCGGCCGCGCGAGTCCCCTGCGCGCTTGGCGGTGTGTCCGCTCCGGTCCCCGGGGGCGCCGGGCGCGGGCCGCCACCGCCCGCCGCGCCGCCGCCTGGGCGACCGCCCCGCCCAGGCCCCGCCCCTCCCACCGCCCCGGCGACCGCCACCGCCCCGCCCGGCGGCACCGCCCCGCCCCGCCCCGCCCCCGGCCCCGGCCCCGGCCCGGCCCGGCCCGGCGGCGGCGGGGCCCCGGCCTGCGGTGCGGGTGAGAACCCGCAGGGCTGGGCGCTGGGCGGTCCCCTGGGGGCAGAGCGGACCCTGTGCCTGCGCTCCAGACACCCGGCAGGGTAATCTGATCGCGGCCTTCGCCCCTTGAACTATCTCGGTGGGTTCTGACTTCTTCAGTTCAGAGACCCAAACCCCTGTGAGAGGCCGGGCCGGTGTGTGATGATCGTGCCCCCCTGCCTACGTGGGTGCCCGCTCCTTCTCCCCCCAGGGCCTCTGCAACGCTCCTGGCTTCTTTCCTCAGGCTGCGTCCGCTTTGTTGTTGAGATTGTTCCGCATGACCGTTTCTTAAGGAAAACTACTCTGGCCTCTAAGATGTGCAGC